AACCCAAACCATTCTATGATTCTACGAACTCTGCTATGCACACACATAGTTACAGTACTTTAGGATAATCCACATAATAGTTTCTACAAGGGGGTAATGTTTTTCAAAACTCTGTTGTAGGTCATTGTCCAGTTCGGGAACTTGTGTTGACCAAGTCAAATAACACAAATAACTCACAGCTATAAGCCCAAGAAATAAAGTCTCTAAGCAGTAGAAGACATCTCAAAGAATCTGACGAGTTACATCTACACTGATTATTCAGAAGCAAAACACGAGCATTGCAATGGTTCATTAGTTTTTAGCTTAAATTGTTTACATTATCTGAGCATGAAGTTACGATTCCATGGGGCATGACTCTGGTACAGGTATGCTATGCCTAGCAGACTACTGTTTTCAGCACAAAATCTCAAGTCCACTCTGAAATATTTTCCTGAAGTCAAAGCAGAAAATACAAAAAGCTAGCAGATGTTTCTTTGCACCCTCTACCAGGAAAGGCTTTTCACTCCTTTCTGGCAATTAGCAGGAAAAGTGCCCCACGCTGTCAGCTTTCAGCTAAGAAACAAAACAGTATTACAGGCTTGATTGCATTTATGATTTGCAACTCCAGATAAACTACCAACCGCTACAGAACAAGCAGCAAGATGAGGACCTAATTCAGCACCTGTTGCTGCTGAATTCTATTAAACATATTCCTGGTGATCATGGTTTATGCTGGACAGGTCAGTAAAATTTGTAGCTCACTAGTTTCTAAATGTTTGTGAGCCTCCAACATAGTAGAAGCTGACTACAAAAGTACAACAAAAACAAAAAATATGACTTAAGCCAGGTCTGACAATATCACTACACCTATTGAGAAGTTTTAAAGCTGGCACTACAGAGATTTGGAAAATCATTCATAGAATCAAAGCAGTGAAACAATTCTCACACCACTATGTGACTTTAGTCCAGAAAAGTGAGATCCCGAAAGACTCAATTGAAGACGGTCAAAGTTTGTTTATGAGGCAGAGGATTGTATTATAACATGACTGGAAAGTTCAAATTTGCTCCAAAACTTGCAGAAAACTCTGGACTATCATTTCATAGCTAACAGCTAAATGAGTGAACTATTTCAACCATACTACAAGAGCTGCCATAGCAGGGATAATTTCATGGAAGGAAAGTAATTCCTTGCTCTACTTGCAACTACTTAATCGAAGACAGCACAAGAGACAACTAAGAAATAATATACTGGAAATTCTATTTCTTAAAATTCCTGCAAGTATTGATCAAAGCCAGAACTATCTTAAATTTCACTGCTAGTTTACTGCACTGGGTGATACTGGATGTACAAATCCAGTGAGTGAGTTGATCATACAGTAAACTTCGAAAAACCTCTAGTTCATTTTAAAGGCACAGCACAGTTAAAAATGTCAAGTTTCCATCACATGAAGTGTTGATTAGAGATGAATTCTTGAGTGTACGTTCATTACGATTATAGTAGTGCATACAAAAGCTTGTCAGCCAAATGGTTCATGGAACTCCTGAGAAACTTCAGTGAAGATGTGGCAGGTGAAGAATAATTCTGATTATACATGCTGACAGTCATTTACTGTTTGTACGACAGAGGGTGACAGCAAACGTCTGAAACAACTTTTGAACTCTCATGCAGAAGGGCTGCAACTAGCAGTGGGCTGGTTGTAAATCTGGTTAACATCTGGATTAAAACAATAATACTTAATGCATCCTCCAACAAAAAAGAAACAAAACCACCAATTCAAAGGCAGATCATTGTATTTCTGCATATAAACTATTCAGACAGGAAACAGGACTGGATTGGGAAAAACCTGGAAACAAAAAAAATGCCTGGAAACAGGAGAGACCTATAGCAACATATACCTAGGGACTGGGCAGGCATCTTGGCCAGCGATGCCTAAGCCTGCATGCAACATGCAAGCAGCTACAGGGCACGAAACGAACACCTTCCCCCCCAGTCTTTCCCAGACAAGCAGCAATCTCTCCAGTGACTGAAAAGTGATGACAGAATTGATACAACTCTGCAAAAATGGGTATTGCAGCTCCATCTTACACCCAGAAAGATCAACCAATAAATCTGTACCTGATACGGCCAAAAAAGGAAGCTGGTTAAAGCTGAAGATGAAATATGAAGAAAACCCACAAAAAAGGAGAACAACTGAGCAGTTAACTTTATTTAAATTAGCTCCTGTAAGTTTTCCACCAAGGCATCCATAAAGAAGTATACTCTAACTTCCTGATATCCTCTGAATGCAGCTTCCAGAGAGGTGACATCAGGTTCCACCTTCCATTTGAGTTAAGCTTAAGTTTCCCCAATGGTCATGATTAAACAGTGTTCAGCTAATTCTACTCCAAGAGAGCTCAGACTGCCTAGTTAAGTTTCAGTACCTACTATCAGTGTCCTTTCAAATCTCTCACTGGTAGCAAGCAGATTGATTTCTATTAGTCGAGCAGACTTGACTGCATATTTGCAGCTTATGATCAAGCTACAACAGCAGACATTCTTCCAAGGTTGCCATATAAACATATATATTATTGGAGTAGTTGGCACAGAAGGCTTGATGAAATATTTCATTTGTTTGTTCCTGTAAGAGCCCAAACGTTAGTTCCCTGTGCCCATGCATTAATTAAGCAACTCACCTAAAACTTCTTGAAATACTGAAACTAAATTAAAGTTCACAAGTTCCTGAGAGCCTGCTGTTCTGAAATACTGCAGGAAGAAGCAGACTGTTTTTGAAATAACGGAACAGAAGTTTTAAGAGTTCGCAAACATGTAAGCACGATAATTCCCCAGCATTTCAGTAACTGTTTAACAATTAGTCTTACAAAAAGATGACCTAAGTTACATTTCCATGTACTTGCATGGACTATAATTTCCCTAAGGTAGCATTAGAAGTTTGAAAACCTGTACTTGTAAACATTTTATTTCAGAGTCTGTCAAAAGACATCTGAAGACAATTTTTCAGCCTTAGAAATACAGCTCAGTAACTATACAGGCTAAAACAACATTACTTTACAAATCAACATGAATGACAAAAATATTTATGAACTGAGTTTATATAAACATATTGGGTTGTACACAAGTTGAAAACATTGACATTAAATATTGAAAGAAAACTTCAAACTGGACAATTTGCATTAAGGAGAAAAATAAGTTAAAAATGAATCACATCTTAATTATTCCATTGGTTATTTCTAAGTCAGGCACCTGGCAGTTTCAGAACTGAACTGTACTCAAACACTGCAACAATGCTAAATAATGCCATTTACACTAATGATTTCCTCTGATAGAGCAAAAAGCCACCTCACTGTTACCTGAGGATTCCCATGGTAGCTCAGTGGGGATAACAGTATGAAAATGACATTCTTCACAGACTGGGAACTCACCCCTTAAGTGGACACTTTTGGCATACTCTGAGGACAGTCTCTTGATAGTGATAGTTTTATAAGGGAATCCCAGAAATGTCAGCAGAACTAATGCAAAAGTTAAGCCACATCCTTCTGAAAGAGCGTA